CTAAGTGTATCAGCTAGGTCATTGTTACATACATTCTATTTTTTCTTTCAATCATTCAATAAAATATGTATAGTAAGACTTCCATTTATTATTAAATTCTTTGGTCAGTTGTCTATTTATATAGCTGGTTAATTTTGCCATTACTATGTATTCCACTAATTTGTTTTTCCAGGCTTCCCTAGTTGAGCAGTCATCTGATATCCATTTTGTTGCAGTTATAATTCTAGATGCTGTTGTCATATATTTTAATAATTCTTCCATATTTCTTGGAAGAATTTCTGGCACAATAGTCACCCTAAAGTGAATTTTGTGGCAAATTGGAAAGTTCCTACCTCAATATATCTGAGGGATTTCAGTAAAAATCAAGAGTTCTAATCCTTCTCATTCCTAACCTACTGGAGCTTGGACATCAACCTGTCTAGATGGTCTTTAGATGAAGCCACTGTGAACACTGAAATTGAACTGCTCCCAAGCCATTCTCTACAGCCAAGACTGACTTCTTCCTACACTTTGCCCCCCATTTATTTTACTGTGAACAATCAGTCACAACAATCTATAGTTTTCTTTTCTTGCTGTTTAACTGAAATATTTTGCATTCCTTTGTTGTCTGTATTTTATTAATCTTTTGGCCTTGCTACATGCTTTTAATGCTTCTTCATCAGTCCAAGCAATTCATCACATCCTGCAATAAATCTGTATTTCAAAGGCTTCTAATTTTCTATGGTAGTCTGTGTTAAAGGCCACAGTTGCAGGCCATAGAGTAAAACTAGTACACAATACCTCACAATGTACATTATCCAGGGTAATTTTAATTGCATATTACATTTTTCATCTTAACAAGGCTACTACTCCTGGCCATCTCGATTTTAGCTTTTAGTATGCTATTGTGATCTCATTGGTTACTGAGCTAGATTCAAAAATATTTATATTTATCAATCCACTCCATATTTTGGTTTTGGTTCTTTAGCTGCTTCAGTATTTATTTATTTATTTATTTATTTATTTATTTATTTGTTTGATTTGATTTGATTTATGTCCCAATTTTTCTTTTTTAAATAACTCTGAACACCTTACATCATTCTCCTCCTCCATCTTACCCCCACAACAACAGCCCTGTGAGGTAGGCTAGACCGAGAGTCTGTGACTGACTCAAAGTCACCCAGTTGGCTCCATGGCCGAGCGCGGACTAGAACCCAGGTCTCCTGAGTCCCAGACCTGTGCTCTTAACCACTATACCACACTGGCTCTCTAGATTCATCCATCTAGCACCTTTTCATTAGTGGTCCCCATTTATGGAAACAACTCCCCAGGGAGATGCGTCTGGTGCTGACACTTTATACATTTCAGTGCCAGGTCAAAATCTTTCTATTCTCCCATTATTTTAATTGTTGATTAGAGATGTGTTTTAAATTGGTTTTTATTATAATGATTGGTTACACTGGTTCAATATGTTATTATTTATTCTGTGTTATAGTTGTCCATCTTAATTTTTCTGGTATTCTCATATAGGGTTTTTTTGTTACTTGTTATGTTATTTTAGCTATTTGTAAACCATTCTAAGAGCAATGTGCTGAGAGAATGGTATAAATAAAATATAAATAAATAAATAGATTCAGGGCTTTCCCATAAATATTTGTTTCTTAGTATCCCAGAACTGATAGCAGTTTTAAGCTGTTCAAGAAAATCTGGCATGTTATACAAGTCCCTCATATTAGAATTCATTTTACCTCTAGCCAGTTCATTATTTTTTAATTTGCTACTGGTTCTTCAAAGAAGAAAAACAGAACACACTTTGGGTTTTGTCTGAATGTTTGCATCTGCTTAGATCAGTAGAAACATACAGGTCCAAGACTGACAGAAGAGGCGATATAGAAAATGCTCTTTGGTCTACCAGCAGCAAACATTACTGTTCTTATTTTTTTCTCCTTCCAGCATGTAGGTGGGAAATAAATCTTCCCCAGAACTCCTTCTTCTCTAGAAAGACCCCCCTGTGAGCCAGATGGAACACATTTATGTAAGACAATTGCTTTAAAAACACACAAAAGGAAGTGTTAGACTAGTTATATAAAGTATGAAAGACTGGTAGCTCTGCTCTACCAGAAGCCTTTGTGATTAGGAAGAGAAATCATGCCATCAAAAGAATACTTGACAGAAGCAGTGTGAAGAAGAAGCCATGTAACCGTTCTCAAGTTATTTGAGGACATCAGGTGGGGAGTGGCAGAGTTAAACTTTATGTAAGGTCAACAAAAGAAAAGCTTTTATCCTCAAGCTTGAGATACAAAGATTGAAAATAATAATAATACAAGCCCTTATTTTCAGGAAGAAGATTAAGGAATTGCCTACACAATTTATTTACCATGGATCAAGACTGAAGCCAGTTTAAGAATGCAGTGATTTGTAGGATCCATCACTGAAAATATAAAATTGACATAGGGATTTGCCTGTGTTTTGGATGGTTTATTAAGTGAAAACAGCAGACAAGCACAGGCAACTTAAAGGAGGTCACCAGGCCTTTAATTCCTTGTCCCCAGTGTGGTTCCAGTCTGACTCTCACACACCCAGGAAAGCTCCCATTGAAGCAAAGCCATTTATATAATCAAGAAGGTCTTTGAGGGCTTTCTACTCCATGCAAATATCGCACTGTGGGGGAGGAGGTTTCAGACTTGGATCAGAGCAGGGAGTAAAGGGCTTAAAGCCCCTTATTGTCCTTCCCAACCCAGACTGGGGTCCCACATTTTCTAGTCCTTTAAATGATGGCATGCCTCATCTTCCCAAAAAACTAAGACCTACTTTTGAATTCAAGCATTGGGTTGGAAGAGAAGTGGCAGAAGTCAGAAGGTAATGATCAGGCACTGGTATAAGTTACAGTAGGATGTGCAAAACATCTCTGAGTAAAACATTATTAACAAAGAACTGCCTAAGATCAAGCAAATCTTTTGGCCACCCTGGAAGGGAACCATGAACCATTGTCACTCAATAAACTGGATTTCACTGCCCAAAGATAAAGTGATGGACAGCTTTGAAATGGGTTTCAACATATACAGGGAGGAGATGTTTTGCAGGGGATATTAACTTTGGTGGCAATAAGGAACCACCAGAACAGTCAGAAGCAATATATGCAGAGTGTCATTTGCTTGGGGAACAAAAATGAAAGGCTTTTCCCATTCATATTCTGGCTGTGAGCTTCCCGGAACTATCCAGACCCCTATACAGCCATGTAGCTTTTTGCCTTAGGAAGTTTCTAATTTCATTGACAGTCAATGCAATGTAGTGGTTAAGCATGCTGGACTGAGACTGAGAACTGGGTTCTAATCTCCATTAGGTCATGGAGCTCACTGGGTGACTTTGGGCCAATCATGGAGTCTCAGCCAAACCTACCTCACATAGTTGTTGTTGTGAGGCTCAAATAAAGAGGAGAACTTTGTAAGTTACCTTAGATTCCTTGCAAAAAGAAGAAAGGTGGAGTATAAATGCAAAATAATAAGAATTGCCAAGATCCACTTCCCTATTAAAACTATCCTTTGGCCCCTGTTCATTGCCTGAGCGGCCATAGGAATGTTTGGATTCCCAGCTTCAGAGACAGTGCTCCACCTCTCTGCCCCATCTCAGCTGGCACAGCATGATCCATGCTGTTTTCTTTTTGAGATCAGAAAAGCAACCTCAGAAAGGGGTTAAATTGAGCAGAGAGGTGAAAAAGCTGGGGACGTCAGGATACGAGGTATCCTGCAGCTGTCCCAGCCACCATTCTGAGACATTTCTACTAGACAGGCAGAAAAATCTATCAAGGGAACACACAGAGCAGGTGGACAGGGAGGCAAAGATTGCCTCCAGTGCTTGTCCTGCTCTGTACCAGATGCCCACAAGCCTCCAAGTTCAGTGAGTTATGGGTAGCCTGATAGGACTGTGCCCTTAAACCTAGATATACTTAGGCCAGGTTTCTTCAATCTAGTACACTCCAGATGTTCTGAAACTCCAACCCCAGACCTTTCACAGGCTTCTCTCCAATGCCCGTTCCCTGTGGAGCAGCAACTGCTCTCCACCATCTCTGCCTTCTGGAATATGATCCAGACACATAGGCTTCACTTTCCTTTGAAAATCATTGCAATGGTTTCTAGTGTTGCTTTCCATGCTGCTTTCCAAAGATATGTCCAAGCAATGTATAGACAGGGCGGGGGGTGCATTTTCTCTCTCTCATACACACACACACACAGAGACATCCCTTCTGGCAGAAAGAATCAAACGGTTAGCAGGAGGAGAGGCTGAAACAACAACAACAACAACAACAACAACAACAACAACAACAAGGGGACTGGATGTAAGAGAGATCAGCATCCCTGGAGCTTCATTTCAGCAAGTGCCCAGGGACAGCAGAGCGGTCTTCCAAGATCTGAACTCCAGCCCCAGTCACCCACCCCAAACAACTCCTCAGCAGAGGATGGTAAATTGGCCAATGCTGACTTCAAGTGCGCGTTTAGACCAAAGGAGGCCTACAGCTTCAGCGGGGAGGCTGCAAGGTGCAGGACTTTTTTCTGTCTAAGCATGGATGGGATGCTTAGAGATTATTTTCTTCACTGATGGGCCTGTTGCTTTAAAGAGGTAGCAAGGCAGAAGAAGGGCCGGTAAGGCATAAACGGGCGTGGCTGCAATGAACGAGTGGAGCAACAACGTCAAGCTCACAGACCCTGAAAAATACTCGCCTGCCCCCCGCCCCCGCCCCCGCCCCGGTGTCCTTTGCTCCTCCCGCGGCCAGCCGAAGAAAACAGGTGCAATGCTTTTCCTCTTCGCCCAAGGCTTCCTACTTGTTGCAAATCTCGCTCGCCGGCGGGCGGTGGGGGGAGCGCAAAGGCGCTCGCCGCTCCGACCCTCCCCCAGGCAAAGCGCCAGGCGCCGCTCGGCACCGGGCGGAGCCTCGGAAGATGGAGAGCCGCGAGAAGGGGAGGCGGTGTCCTCTCCCCGGGTGAGCTCGTGGGCGCTGCCTGTCTCCTCCACCTGACAAATCAGGCGGCGAGCGAGAGGAGGCAGCCGGGGAAGGCGCTGGCGGGGCTCTCCCTTCGGCACGATCCACGCGCGCTCCACGAGCCGAGCTCCTCCCGCGCGCCTTCCTCGCCTCCGCGCCACGGTCTGCCGTGCCCGCCACCCCGCCGCCGCGCTCCGCCCGGCCGCGCTGGGACCAGGGTACCACTGGGCGTTGGGCTCCCGCGTCCTGCATCCCTCGGCGGTGATGCGCTAGCGGAGGAAGCGCATCCTTGGCAACTCGCTGGCTTTTCTCGCCTTCTCTTTTTGCCACTCAGTTCAACAGTTCCAAAGAGGCAGGGAGCGTTTAAAAGAGAAGGGGAAGGTGGGGAGGAAAAGGGTAAGTAACCTGAATGAGTCAATAGCTTCTTTCCCCCTTTTCGGGGGCAGGCGTCAAAGGAGGGAGGTGGGTCGTGCACGACTGCCAACGGGCGAGGGATCTCGGGGGCTGGGCTCCTCTGCTCATTTACGCGGAAGTAAATCCCATAGAACTCCAGGAGGGCTCTTTTCAGAGGAGGTGAGCTGTTATGTGTTTGTTTACTTCTGCGTAGCCAATGCATGCTTTCTTGGACGTAACTCCCGTTCTGTTCAACAGGGCTTGATCCTATGTAAGCGTCTGTAAGATCACAGCCTAAGCGTGCGATCCAGTGCGTGCCTGCTCCCATGTGCAGGATTGCAACCCATGGCTGCAGTCCTGTCGTGCACTTGCTCTGGGTTGGCTTAAGACCCACTGGAACATGCAGGACTTCGTTCTGAGCAAATCAGCTGCTGCAAGGCCACCTTTTGCCTGGGCTAAAATAAAATGAAATGGCGGTAGACAAGCTGTGTGAGGAAGGAGTAATAAAGATAATGGCAATAATACATTTATTTAAAATACCTCCTAATAGCTGCACAAGAGGGGTATGGAGCTGCACAACTGGAAAGCATTGCCTGCAAATTGAGACGACTCTGTGCTGTGCGTGTGTGGACAGGAGAATGGGAGTCTAACCCAGGAATCCTCAGGAGAACCAAGTTTCTCCGTGTGTTGTATAAAACTGAGGAAGCTGCCCTGTTTTCTTCTGAAGCGTGAGTCAATACATACCTGGGCTCTCATTTGCCCAGTTGCCCTGTGCTCAGTTGTGCAACTCAGTCATTTGAAACCCTGAACTGCGTGGGTACCAAGGGTCTTTTCGAGGGCCAGGTGTATCCCCTCAGCTCTGACGCACACTTCCAGCAGTGCGCACCCTTCTCCCATAGCACCCATTTCATTCTTTGCAACTGCTTCTGCATACCTGTGGCTTAGAGCAAGAACAAAACTGTTTGCCAAGCTCAGGGACAGCAAGCAAGCATGCAACCTCCTCTGAGCATGTGCAGAGTTGCATTTTAAACTCACTTGAATCAGAGCACCCTCATGGCTTCAGTAATTAAGTGGAGTTGGCTTCTGAGCCTTTTGCTGTCTGGGTGAGCATTGCCACCTCACAGAGCTGTGGGATCCTGGAACTTCAGCCCTATCTGCGCCACTGACTAGTATTCAAGAGAAGACTTATGGCACTTTGAAAGAGGCTTGGGAGACTCATAGAATCATAGAACAGTAGAGTTGGAAGGAGCCATGAAGACCATTGAGTGCATCCCCCTGCACTTGCAGGTCACCAAGTTACACCATCCCACTCAGATGCCCAGTTTCTTTCTGAATGTCTCCAGTGTGGGAGAGCCCACCACCTCTCTAGGCAGCTGGTTCCACTGTCATATTGCTCTGATGGTGAGGAAGCTCTTCCTGATGTCCAGCCTGAATCTGGGTTGTTACAACTTGAATTGATTATTCCGTGTCCTACACTCTGGCACCAGCAAGAAGAGATCTTGATCTTCCTCTTTGTGGTAGCCCCTGAGGTACTTACAGAGGTATAAACTGGTTCCACGGTGGCACTGAGAGTCTGTGCACCATGGGCAGAGGCTGTGCACACCTCCCCACCTCCTGCCCCGTGAAGAACTCTGCTGGAATGTGGAGAACAGCACCCATGGAAGAGGGCTTGGTTCCCAAGAATGGCGGCGGAAGCCGCCACCACATGGGAGTCTCACCTTCCAAGATCTGCTGGAGCTTACAGACAAGCTCATTTATGATGATGAATGATTGGATATGGGGTCTTCATTCTCCCACCCCTTCTGGACTAATGGTCTTTCCTGCTTTGTGTAAGGGTCTTGTGTGTCTTTGTGTATGTGTGGAGTCAAATATCTACGGACCTACCTTCCTTTCAGGAGAAGTAGGGCAAGAGCTATAGGATACCTTCTTGAGAAGTCTGAGGAAGTTTGTACTCTTGCCTCCCCACACCCCATAAACTGGCATCCAGGCTGATTTCAAGGTTTATGTCCTTGATCAACCGGATCAACACTGAAATAAATCTTCTTGCCAGATACGTGAGAGGCAGGATCAATTTCCTGAAAAGGTGTATGTGTAGAATTAAATCAAGGTGAAGATTTGGTTTTTCCCCAATTTCTCTGAAAGTGACTGTATCTCCATGCGGATTTGTGATTATTATTTCTCTTAACCCTTATGATGTAGGGTGTGTTAAAGGGATTACTCTAGAGGGCTGGTGCCTAAATTAGCATGATCTCAGCGGTTCATGGTAGAATCCTCCCCAAAAGACCATTTGGTTTAATGCTCCTCCCCATCACCCCGTTCCCTAAGAGTAACTGGATATTTTTCATCAGGGTGTGTTAACAATTCACACTCCTATTTTTAAAGAATTAATCATCATTCAGAAGGGCTAGCTGCAGCATCACCAAAGTGCAGCTTCCACTCTTTCTGTGGAAAGAATGGCAAGATTGGGGCCAAGATTGTTTTATTTCAAAACTGGTTAAAACACAATGGGACTACAGAGTGTAACTATGACAAAGGACTCTTTGTTGTCTTTACAGTCACTGTTGGAAACAGAATGCCAGACTAGATAGTGTTTTATTTCACTCAGTAGGGTAGCTTTTGTATTTTTGGATATGAAAAGTTCTTTCTGAACAGGGAAAGTCAGGTTGCAATTCCACACACTTGGAATTGCAAGGATGGGCAATTTGTTGGCTTCTGAACATTGTTAGACTGCAGTTGCTATCAGCCCTGGCCATCAGAGTCGGAGTGAGTTCCATCCCACTGAGAGCATGTCTGTTTAGTGCCTTGTGTGCCATGCAAATAGTGTCTAGGATTCAGCTGCATAGTTGCAATTTTAATGCTCCCCAGCTAAGACTAAACTTAAGTGAACTTAGTAGAGTTAACTTTTTAGTTAACAAAAACTGGAATGGGCTGCTAAAGGTACTATTTCTAAACCTGTGGTGTTGCAGTCGATAAAAACGTAAGAAAAGCTGTGTTGAATCAGGCCACGAATTTCATCTAATTCAGGCTTGTGTGCAGACAGTCACATGCTGCCCATGGGTTCCCACAAGCAGGAAAGGAGTGCTTCAACACGCTCCTGCCCATGTTCCCCAGCAACTGATGTACTTAGACATATTGCCTCTGTTACCGGAAGTAGCATACAACCATCAGGTCGTAGGCATTGATACGCATTGTCTATAAGAATGTATCCAATCCCCTTTTAAAACCATCCCTATTGGTGGTCATCACTACATGTTGTGGAAGTGGATTCTGTATTTAAATATGCACTGAGTGAAGAGAACTGCAGGACCTAATAAACTTCATCCTAGAGTAATAAAGGCACTGGCAAAAGAACTCTCAAAACCACTTCCATTGCCTTTGAGAAAGCATGGAGGACAGGACAGGACAGGACAGGACAGGACTGAAGGAGGGGCAACATTATCCCTATCTTCAAAAAGCAGGGAAAGGAGGAAGCAGGGAAATACAGACCAGTCAGTCTGACAATCCCAGGGAAAATTCTGAAGCTGATTATGAAGCATTTTCTCTGCAAACACTTTGAAAACAATGCAGTGATTACTAGAAGTCAGGACAGATTCGACAAGAACAAATCCTGCCAGATTGATTTAATTCCATATTTTGATTGGGTAACCTCCCAGATAGACCCTGGGAGTGCTATGAATATAATATATTTCGATTTCAACAAGCTTTTGACAAAGTGTCCCATGATATGTTTATTAGCCAACTAATCATGTATTAATGAGGCGGGGCAGGGGAAGCTTAACAAATTGCAGATGGCACACAACTGGGTAGAATAGCTAATACCTTGACATACAGGAACAACATTCAATGTGAACTTGATGGGCTGAAGACTCGGTTGGGATCTACAGAATGAAATTTAATAGGGACAAATCCCAAGGAAAAATGAACAAGATGGATGTAGTTACAAGATGGGAGATACAAGCAAGGAGGATCTTAGCATTGTTGCAGATCACAAGGTGAATATGAGGCAACAATGTGATATGGCTACAAAAAAAGGCCAATACTACTTTGGGCTGCACTAATAAAAGTATCCAAATCACATGAAGTACTAGTTCCTCTCTACTCAACATTGGTCAGGTCTCATTTTGAATACTACAGCCAGTTCTGAGCCCCACAGTTAAAGAATGGTGCAGAGAAAATGGAAAAGATATGAAGGGGAGCAGCAAGGATGATTGGAGCCTGGAAACAAAGCCCTGTGAGAAGAGATTGAAAGAACTGGGCATGTTTAGCCCTGAGAAGGAAGGACTGACAGAAGAGATGGTAGTACTTTTCAGGTACTTGAAAAACTGTCATACTCAGGAGGGTCAGGATCTCTTCTCAATTCCATGCAGACCATGGAATAATGTCCCAGGTTACAAGAAGCCAGATGCCAGGTGAACGTCAGGAAAATCTTCCTGACTGTTAAGGCAATATGGACCCCTCGAGAAGTCAAGGGCCTCCCACACTGGAGGCATTCAAGATGCAGCTAGACAGCCATATATGAGGGATGCTTTGTCCTGGAGTCCTGCCCTGAGCAGGGGGTTGGACCTCATGGGCTCATTGACTCTTCTAACTCTACAATTAAAAGTATTCCTATACTCTTTCCTGAATCTCCCACCCATCCACTTCATGGGATGACTCCACTGAGTTCCAGTATTAGGAGAGATCTAGAAAAATATCTCCCTCTTCACTTTCTCTACACTGTGCAAAGTTCTGCACAGCTCTGTCAGGTCTCCTCTTACTTACCATTTTTCTGAGCTAAAAAATCTCATATTCTGTAACCTTTCCCCATGCAGTTTTCCTAGACCCTTGATTATTTTAGCTGCCCATTTCTGCACTTTTTCCCAGTGATAAAATAAATAGAAATATTTAGATGTAGTGACCAGACCCATACACAGTATTCCAAGTGTGGTATCAGGACAGTATGGTACTGGTGGCTTCATTTTCCATTCCTTTCCTAAGTAAGCGTTTTTCACCACAGCCGTGCAGTAGAGTGACATTTTCATCAAGGTGTCCATCACAGCCCTAAGATCTCTCACTTGGTCAGTCACTGCCAGCCGAGATCCCATCAGCTTATGTTTGAAGCCTGCTTGCTGACCGGCTGGCTGGCTCAGTGCACATTACTATACATTTCCTTGCATTGCACTTACCATTTTGACACCTTTAGCCCACCTCGCAGAATTGTTGTGAGGATAACATGGAGTGGAGAAGGACTATGTAAGTTTCCTTGGATTGCTTACAAGAGCTAAAAAGCTGGGATGAAAATGCAATGTAATAATAATAATCTCCCAGTTTAGAAAGATCCTCTTGGAGTTTTAACCACCCAAAATATGTCACGTTATTAGCAAAACTGGCCACTTCGCTGTGCTTTCCTAATGCTTATAAGTAAGTACTTCTTTCTCTGGCATTAATCGGAAGTCTTCATTTCCTCTTTCCTTATGGTGACACAAGGAAACATAATAAACACACAAAAATTCACTGTCAAAGAAGAAATCCAGTGCAGCAGTTAGAGAGCTGGACTAGGACTCTGGAGACCTGGGTTCAAGACCCAGACTCACCTTGGAAGCTCACTGGGTGACTTCAGGCCAGTTGCCACTTCTTGGCCTCACCTAACCTAAAGAGGAGAGGAGGTGGATTGTCTATGCCCCTCATTCTCCTTGGAGGAAGAAAGGCAGGATGCAAACGTGATAAACAGAAGAACCAAATAAGGCAAGTGGAATGACTACACACACCCCATACATTCGTCATCACTGAGACTTATAAATGGTAGTTAAATTGTCAGCTATTTTAGGGTCTTGAACTGAAAGATCCATTAAGTGAGTGTCTGCTTTTGGTAAACTAGGAAGACTAGAGGCGTAAGCTCTAACAAAAAGAACATGATGCTCAATGAAATGAACATGATGTGCATCACCTGGAGACATGTTGCTCAACGTCTTGTCAAGGGATGACTCACTGTTGAATGGAGATTGTGTATGCTGAACATGGTTTTACAGTGAGCAAGGACCAATATTTGTTAGCAGGTAAAGTGGCTGCTCCTAAGCAGGGCATTTGAGTTCAGTCAAGCTAGTCTTAGTTTGATTTCCCTCACAGGGTTGTTGTGAAGATAATACTGGGCAATGCCACAGAGACTGCTCTAAAGAGTCAATTGCAAGGTTACAGAAAATGAAGAAACAGAGGCACAAGCTGTACCTGTGCCTGATCCATGAGTTCTGGCTGTTTTACATATCAGCCAGGTATGTTTGGCTGCTACAGTTCCTGGGTGAGCAGCATGGCACCCTAGTCTGAAGTGCCTGATCCTACCTAGTCTAACACAGGCCAAGGCCTGGTTACAGTCTGGATGGGAGACTTGAGTCCTGCATTGAGCAGGCGGTTGGACCAAGCAGCTTTCTAGACCCCTTCCAACCACATGATTCTATGATGAGCACTCTTCCTTAGAGAAAATTATTCCAAGTTCATTCAAGCTCTGCACTCACCAGCTGTTTTTGCAACACAATACAGCTTTGTTTTTCTGGCCTCTTACAGTTAGCCAGTAACTTACAGTTAGCTTTTCCTCAGCTTTTTGGCAGGGGAAAGGATGCCTGCATATAAGATTTAATAACACAGGGAGAAAGTAAAGATGCCAAAGGAATCTGCAACATATTCAAGATTTAATAACACAGGGAGAAAGTAAAGATGCCAAAGGAATCTGCAACATATTCAAGCTATTTTGGATTTCCATGAATCTGACCTGTGGATTTCTCAACAGCATTTTTCAAGCTGTATGGATTCCTTGGACTTGTAGACTGCTTTATCTTTTGGAGCAATTTGCATAAATGTCCCTTAGCACAAATGCGCATAGTGCAGAGGCACATTTGCAAACAGGAACAAAGTTCTCGTGCATTCTTAAAAGAGGAAAAAAAGCCAGTTCCATCAAACAATGAAGCAAACCATGTCTGACAACCTGCAAAATGCAGATAGAAAAGATGATAAAATGTGTGCATCAATGTGTGCATCACCATGGTGCAATGTCAGCTCCCAGTTTTGAGGGCCGTTCAGTAAGACCCTGTCACTAGTCCCCCTCCATGGGGGAGGGACCTACCTTCTTCCCACCCTGGTGACCAGTTCCTCTTGCTTTTCATCCTTTCTTTCATCATTGCTACTGCTTGCTTCTTTGTCGAGAGAGAGGGAGTTTTTCGGCAGGTGAGTCCCAGTCCACCACTTCAGCCACTCCGCGGGCTCTTAATTAGTCTTTCACGGCGATTAATATCAATCAGAGATACAGAGCAAGATCCCACCATCCAGTTTATCAGCTGAAAAAAAAGAGACACAAGGAAAGGGGTGTGGAGGGGGATGGAAGAGGAGGAGAGCAGTTTTGCAAGGCCAGAACGAGATGGTGAGCTACAAGTGAGCTTTTACATGCACTTCAAGCCAGCCGGATCTTTCCTTGCTGGCATTTTTGCTTGAAACACAAATTCGTTTTGTGACTATTTTGACACTGTAAAGGGCCAGAACATATTAACCGTTACTTCTGTAGCCCCAGAGCTACAGGCAAAATGCAAAACGAATATTAAATGCCATACTCCATTTCATTTGTTCTATTATCTTTCTTTCCAGAACTGGATATAAACAACCTTTGGCCATGGATGTTTTCATGAAAGGATTTAATAAAGCCAAGGAAGGGGTCGTGGCAGCAGCTGAGAAGACCAAGCAAGGCATGGCGGATGCAGCTGGGAAAACGAAAGAAGGCATGCTTTACATGGGTAGGTTGGCAGGAGGCTCTAAATCCGGATTTGTCAAACTATTTCTGCCTGAGGGCAAGATTCCATTTTGGAGAACCTCTCAGGGGCTGCATTCTGGTTGGGGATGAAGCCACAGGAAGAAGCTAACACCAAAAATACCCCATCCTATTTCAGCCAAAAGCTCTTACAGATAGTACTGAAGCCTTAGGAGAGGCATTTCAGTCTTTAAGAGAAACTGCATGTAAATGCCCACTGATTGGTGTTTGGGGAAAGGTGCTGGGGCCCTAGAGGGACGGGGCCTTCTGAAGAACCCCAGGGGACCAGATTCCGCCCTCAGGCCTTTTGGACCACTGCTTTAAACAGACTTGGTTGGGCACTTGGGGCCCTAGAAGGTCTGCATAAAAAAGGGAACATGTGCATGTAATGTGACTGCAAGGTCAAAAGCAAATGGTCTAACTGAGGTACAGATGAGATGGATGGATGGATGGATGGATGGATGGATGGATGGATGGATGGATGGATGGCTACTGCAATGACTTGTGGGTGAAAAGAGCATTGGATGTGTCTAAATGGCAACTTCTTTGTGTCTTAGCCAGTTCCTTCCAAACGAAGCAGTCTTCTGGGACCAGGTGCCTGGCTGGGAATGATAGTTGTGATCCAACACAGCTGGAGGGTGTGGAGCGCACCAGGGGGTTGCAGAAGCCCTTTAGTGCCAGAACAGGGCTAGGAAAGCTCACCTGAATATGAGAGTCACTGGGTGGCCCTGGGCCAATGCGATCTCTTGATATCACATCCTTAGCTAACTTGCATGATTTTTATGAAGATAAATGTAGTTGGAGGACCCACATATATTTCTTCTGCTCCTCGGGAAAAAGATGTGGTAATAAGATATTAAAGAAAGAAGTGAATCCTGGGGTTACCTGGGAAGAAGAAATGCCTGTTAAACCAAATTAAGACCATGTTTTAGATAGACCCAATATTCCTTTGGCTCCTAATGTTCTCCTCCAAAGTTGTAGTGTTCTTGAAGGAATACAAGCAGCCAGACAGCAATGGCAGCCTTGGAGGAGCTCTCCTTCCTAATCACTGAGTTTCACAACAAGAAAACCAGTACCTGTTGCTTCTGTTCTTTTTACAGCTGGAGGGTAGAATGTTTTTCTCTAAGGAAGGTGGCTGAAGATTGTTTTGTGTACTGAGTGGATCCCAATTCACAAGATCACTACCAACCTTAATTGTATTCCTTCTTCCACCTTTCTGGGCCACTTTTGTGTATGATTTTGGACATAAACTTGCCCTTACCGGTGCTTTCCCCATTATTTAGTTAACATTTTTGTTAGCACCAAAAGGTGGCCTCTTTTTTCCTCACTTTCTGCATCTTCAGAAAGTGAGGAAAAAAGATACAAAACTTGCATAATATTTGCATGTGCTAATTTGTTTACATGGATGCAAATGTAGAAATCATTAATGGAACTTAAAAAGAAATGCAGCCTGACTCACCCCAGTAGGGGACACTGTGATCAGGTGACCCACGTGTCTTGTTCTTGCTACCATCTAGATGTGAAGTGTTGTGGTGGGCAACTGTCGCACTCCTGTTATGCCCCAGGTGCCTAGTCGTCAGCAACCCAAGAAAGGCACCTAATAATTATGAAGTCAGGGTTGCGTTATTACTTGTCCACAACTCTATTGGTTTGGCATAGTGGAGAATAGGATCCTTTCATCAGCCAGCTGACCAGCTGGTCGATACACACCCAGCCTTCATGCTTCAATGGTGGAGCCAAATGTTCTGCCAATGCGTGTAGGCTGAATCGCAAGCGTGCTGCACGGGTGCTGTGGCACAAGCTATAGAATGCATGCGTCCCTTTGGTGTACTCTTGTGGTGTTTCAGTTTGGTTGATTGAAGTGGGGGCTCCTTACACTATGCCAGTGGACAATGGCTTTTTTTTCTTTGTGGAGAATTGCTTTTGTCAATGAAGTGGAGATGGCAGAGCAGGAATGATGGGTAGTGCATCTTTGTTGTACAACAGAATAAGAAGGGGTGATTTATGTCCCTGTGGATTATGTTAGACCGTAACTCCTTTCTCCCCTCTTGCCAGCATAGTCAATGCTGAGGAATGGTGTAAGTTGACATCTGAAGATATATGGAGGGTCATCCGTCGCCCACTGTTGCAATAGTGAATGATGCTGCTGCTCCTTGGCTGTCCATGGGAATCTGGCCACAGTCAAGCCTAACTCTTAGTCTACAGTGTATTTAGGGCTGGTTCAGTAATCTAAGATTACCAGTAGGTTGCTGAAATCAGGCTATCCCTGTCCAAACGGGGCATTGTTGGGCCACCAGCCAAAGCTGGTAGAAATATTTTCATCCTTGAGGAACAAACGAGGATCAATGAACCTGCTCTTTCAGGAGGTGTGCAATGCCATCCAGAACAAGCTGGACACCTTCTATCCAATAGAGGAACTACCCACTAAAAGCATCTTACTCTTGTCTGGGGATCGAGTTTCACTTGGTTAGCCCTCATCCAACCCATCCAGACATCCATTTAGCACATCGACATCCACACCTGTTGAGCATGAAAGGGAGAAGTAGAGCTGTGTGTCATCAGTGTACTGAGGCCAAAACTTTGGATGACCTCACTCAGAAGTTTCATAGGGTTCAAACAGCCAGGCCCAGCCTTTGAAGATCTGCCCTAAGCATCTCTTCTGTTCCAAGGAGTTTGCTTCCATGAGTAACTCAGCAAATAGCCTACTCTTTAGTCTGACCATCCACATAATCTTGTATCTCTTAAAATATTCAACACAGCTGTCTGAGCATGAGGACCCCCAGTGAGAATCCAAAAGGCTCTCTCCAAAGTGGGAGAATGGGCATCAAAATGACAAATGTGGTCCAATATAAGCAAATGTAGAGTGATGTACATTAGGACATAACAACAACAACAACAACAACAACAACCCCAACTTCAGGTATAAGCTAGTAGGATCCTTGGTAGTGGTGACTGAACAAGAATAAAATTTTGGGGTTGTGAATATGGTGAATATGTCAACCCAGCATGTGGCAAATTCCATGTAAGGCATAATTGGGAAAAGAATTGAAAATAAAACTGCCACTATCATACCACTCTTCTACAATTGTTCAGTGCAACCGCACTTAGAATACTTTGTACTTTTCTGATCCCTGTATAAACAAAGATCGTGTCAAGCTGGAAATGGACAACTAAAATGGCCAAGTCGCTGTGGCAACTCCCCTGTCAGAAAGGACTGATTTCTGGGATTGTTTAAGCTGGAGAACCGGTGAGCACTGGGAGATCTGATAGGGATACAAAAGCACATGGTGTGGGGAAGCAGGCATTTATTTCCTTTAGTGATAATTCTAGAACCCAGTAGGATCAACCCATGAAACCGATTGCTGGGTGACTGAGGACAGATCAAAGGAAGCCCTTCTTCACACAGTTCAACTGTGAAATGCACTTCCACAAGAGGTAGTGAAGGCCATTGATTTGGATGACAAATTCATGGGGAAGAAAGCGTTCAATAGCTAGTAGCCCTGATGGCCACATGCTGCCCCCAATAACAGAAGTGGTATGCTTATGTACACCAGTGCTGGGGAACATGGATGAGAGAGTGCTGTTACACTCGTGTCCTGCTTGTGAGTCTCCTGTGGGCAACCATTTGGCCACTGTGTGGACAGAATGCTGGAGCAGATGGACCCTTGGCTTGCTCCTGCAGGCTCTTCTTCTGTCTCTTAGGGATAACCAGTTCATGTCAAAAGTATTCTTACAAATGCTACAGGCTTTCCTTGCCAGAGAGCTGCATTCATTGTTTGCAGAGCACTTTTGACTCTAGGCAGGAGACTCCCAGTTGCCAGCCCCTGGAAGCAAAGAAAGCGCCCAACAACTCCCCTGGACTGAAGAAAACCCTTCCTCTTGCCAGGGTAAAAGGCAAGCTTGACTCCACCCCCCACCATGCACAGGAAAGCAGCCCAGCCGCCATCTGCATCACCCCACCTTGTCCTTGGATTCCGTTCTTGCCAGGGTGTGATGCTCGATGCTGGATGTATTTCGGGTTGTTCCTTGATGGACATCTCTACAGACAGTTTCGGTGGGGTTCCAGTCATGGCAAAGAACTGAATGACTGCATGATTCATGCCTCATGGCTGGTGTGAGGACAGCTTTTCCATAGCAGCTCTGCTTTAGAACATGCATTCACTGAGTTTCATTATCTCATCTCCCCCCACCACCATCTGTTGTGCAAGCAGCTGAAAAGAAATAGAAAGCTACATAATTGATTTGCCTTGAGAGAAAACTCTTGGTTCTCCCTACCATTAGGAAGGGGTATTTGGCTGTGAAGAATGCCTCCTCCACTTGCCAATTAAAGAGCAATGTATTCCCTGCTTTGCACTATGAACAAAATGCATGGAAGGTCCTTCCACAAGTGATGGTAAAACACAGCCTTTATTTTTCCTATAGAAGCAGTCTCTTTTTTCTCCTTTTAATAAACCACATCACGACATTTAAATCAGGAGAATATTAATGTGAGTTTGTAGCAGCAAAATTAAACCAAAGCAAGCTGAGAGGGATTTTCTTTTAATCACCTGATTTAGTTCATTGCTATGCTGAACCCATGAAAGAGGCTTTGTGCCTTTCCCCCAAGAAAGAGTTTGCAAGTTCTCACTCATCTCCTCCAGCCTTCCGCAGATGAGGATGTGGATGTGCTTCTGAGGACAGCCCAATTCTCATTGCAAAGACCCATTGCACAAACCTCCCCGGCTGATCCATCCTTTGAAACAGAAAATGGAGAGCATAGCCTCAGGGTGGGAGGTAGTATAAGAGTGCAATCCTATGAAGATCAGGCAGAAAAAACTTCTATAATTCCCAGTACTTCCACCAACAGCTAGTAGGAGTTGTTGGACTTTTTCTAAGTATGTACAGGATTGCACCTTATGTGTATTTCTTAGAAGAACAAAGAAAGGAAACCTGCTTATTCCTTCCCAAGTACAGTGACTATATTAAATTGTCTCTTTGTTGCCACTTACATATAAATGAGCAAGGAAGTTTAATATCGGAATCAGTCCACTGGAGTATTCAGCAGGGCATTTAACGACACAGCATATTTTTTTAAGTACATTAATCATCCCACTGACTTCAAAGTGCACAGCAAATTCTCATCCTTCATTTGATTAATTTTCCAAAGTTCATGTTTCATTTTCGCTAATTGTTCCATTAATTGTTGCTATTCTGATGCATTGCAGGCCCCATAATAGAAAGATGGCAGGGATTATTAGTGACTTAAGAGTTCCCAGTCATGAAATTCAATACAGTAGGAACATTTACATGGTATTGTGACATTAATACTAAAGTTTCAGCATTAATTAACAGCTGGTTCACACAACTGCTTTGGGCTCTCTTTATCTGACGTGATGATGCTGATCTAAGCAGACTTGTCTTCCTCCTTCAGTTCAAGTAAAAGATGCTATAAACTGGGTGGGACTCTAAGGCTTTTCTATGAGGCTTTTAACCTGCCACTTTGCCAAGGCTTCTGCCTCCAGACACTTGGTAGGAGTAAGACTGGATCCTTTGCACAGCTTTTTCCCCAGGGTTTTGAATGATCTTCCTTGCTGTATGTTCCATTATACAAGTACTAGATGATGCTGTGGGAAGCAGAATTGCACAAATAGCACCAGAGTTTCCTAAAATGAAAAACTGTGGAAATGGCTGCAAAGGACTGGAGGATGGCAAAGCACCTGTGAACTATTGTGAGTGAGAAATCACAAGTGCACCGTAATTGCTTCACATAGGAAGGTGGCAGAGTATCTGCTTTGCAATAGATGGTCACAGGTTCAAGTCCTGACATCTGCAGATTTTTTAAAGGATCTGGTAGCAGATGATGGAGAAGCCCCTGAATGAGAGCCTGAAGAGATGGCCTGATGGGAAAGAACGGCTCAACAGCCCTCTTTTAAACTACTGTTTTATGCATGTTACTCCTCTTGAGTGCCGTGATTCCTGGTTTCACCTCTGCTTTTATATGCTCGAGTCTTTCTGAGATTCTTGAAGCTGTTTTGAAGCCAGATAGACAGGATATCATTTTAAACAAATGTTAGGTTTTACCTAGACTGGAGGCAAGGAAGCTGCAATTTGATGTGTTGAAACCTATACAAGTAACTCCTTTTGCTGCACAGCTGGAGAGGAATAGCAGAAGATTTAAGACTTTTGTAGTCGTTCCAGTTTTTAGCCATTACAGGGGATGGGCCACATGTGCTGGTCCCACTTCCTGGGGTGGAGCTGTAGGGAAGTGGTGGAGCACATGAGGAAGGTCCCAGCTTCAGTCCCCCAGTATCACCAGGTAGTGTTGGAAAAAATCCCCAAACCCTTGAGAGCCATTGCTGCCAGTCAGTGTCAGCAACACTGGACTGGATACTCATGACATGGCAGCTTCCTGAGTTCCTATCCATGAGAGGGTCTGAAGGGCCATTCCAACTGAGTTCATCTCAACATGAATAGAATCCTTCCGTCATCAGGAATTTCAAGTCATTGTCCTCCTTGGTTGTGTGGAGGATCGTTAGCATGTTCAGCCTAGTGTGCTTAGAACCCCCTTTCGAAGCTTCCTGCTCAGTCTGGGAAGGTCGGAGGGATCCAACACCCACAGTCATTGTGGCAGGTCTAGCACAGGCGACCCTGTTCCCTGTCAGCAGAGATTTGCAAGGCCAGAATGGGGGCCTCCATCAGAGACGTCGAAGCTCTTTCCATCCAAGGGCCAAATTGCAGTACGGCAAAATGCTCAGGGGGAACACTCCACTGGTGAGCAGGGCAGTCGGCAAAGGAGGAGGGCCAAGATACTCACATATCTTAGCTTGAAGCTGCTGCTGCCACTGACGGAGCCTTAGCAGCAGCGCTCGACCATTTTATAATGGAACAGTGGAGCACAATAGGCAAGAAACCACCAAATAACTGGTGCGCAGGGCAGGGCAGGTCAGGGCAGGAAGTCGCCAGAGAAGGCAGTGCATTCATCAGAAGAACTCCAGGGGGCTGGGCTGGACTCCTGGGCTCTAGGTTCTAATCCCCTGCTCTGTGTAAATGCAAACCGCTCCTTATGCTGCACTGCAACAGGTGAAGAACCTTATATAACCCTTTCCCTTGCCCAGTGTCCTCAGAAGGGGCAATTTACATTGTAAAAAATTATATGGGTGGGTAGGAGCATGTTAGTCCTTTTCCAGATTCTTCAGCCTCTCCCCAGGGGAAAGTAACAGCTTTTTCTCTCTGCCATTGTAGCAGATTTGCACTTACCTGACACGCAAGGGTTTGGGACCCCACAGGAGCAAAAGTGTGGGGCTTGTTTTCCTTCGATTTACTAAGTGAGGCCATTTAGCAAAACTAGAGCATTTCCCCAAGCTCACCTGCTACAGTATGTCTTCCATCCTCTCACACACACACACCCCGCACACCAAGGAACCCTCTCCATTGCATGTGATTGCTGAAAATAACTGGCATCCAGTGAGGAAAGGGAGGCTGGGGAATCTGGGAATCAACACACGTTTTGGACACAAGGAAGGCAGCTCTGCCTTTGTCATGAAAGATGACTTCATGCTTATTATGGAGCCAGAAAGTAACCTGCTTAATAAGGATGCCAGACCTTCTATGTGTGTTCTGGAGGAGGCTGGCACTGGGCCTTCAAATTAGAAAAAAGTCAAATGATCATCTGTTCAGTGTTAGCAATCAGAGTATTGGGAAACTCTCTCTCTGTGAGAGTTTGCACACCAAGGAGATAGGCTGGTGTAAGTGGCCAGTGTTCAAATGTCATTGTGACAGTCCTCATACTCAAGCCCCCAAGAAGAAGCCACAGTCTCATTCCCAGGATCTAGGGTGACCAGGCATCCTCATTTGCAGAGGACCCTTCTCCCTTTGAAGGGCTGCTGGTGAACCAGCTCCTATCCAGCAGTGTCTTCTGTTTGAATGACTGTTCAGTCTGATTCGTGTTTCAATGCAAGGAGCCATTAACATGGTTGACTGTTGCCAGTTAGCACCCAGATAGCAGCCTGCAGGCAAGTACATAGATCGTATGGTGGCAGCTTTTTGCAGTATGCTGACATTTAAGCTGCAATCTTGTACCAGGTTACTTGGGAGTGAACACAGCAAGACGTACTGCTGAGGAAACATGCATAGGATTGCATGTTTGCATTTTTGTTTAAACTGTACTCTTTTCTTCTCCTTTTGCACCCAGAGTATACAGTAGCGTATACTCATTGCATGAAAATGTGTGCCTTCTTTCCTTTGACAGTTCAGAAGTCTTCACCCTGCCTGGATCTTATCTATTATGTAAACTGATTTTAAAAATCACTATTGGAATGTGTATGCAAATAAGCACCCTAAAACCATGTGGTTCTAGCAGCATTGGTGTAAAATCAACCAATTTGTGGAAATCATAATTTGCACAACTTGCAATTAATGTGACTCTGAACCACATGGTTTTATGTGCTTATTTGCCTCAAAGTCATAAGCATAAAAAACTGCACAAGCCACAGTCTGTCTTAGAGAAGGAAGTCTGCAAACTGGCTGAGCTCACAGCACGGGGCTCAAAAACCAGAATCCAGAGCACTAAACCATGTAAATCTGTTGGTTTCCCATTCTCCTATCAGATGCCTCACACCACCCTAAATTCAATCAAGTCTACTCACTGGAAGTTCACTGGGTCATACTCACAGGGTTGTAGGGTAGAAACTTTGCTCCAACTTGGTCTCCCTAAAGCAAAAGGCTCCCAATATCACTGGTACTTTTTGTTTTCTTACAAGACTGACTTTGCAGAAAGATTGCTCAGGAACTTGCTACAGTATGGAGAAATGAGGTATGCTTGAATCAATGTGATTTGCTAACTTTATGCTTGTGTTTACTAAGACTAGTTTTACTCAGTCCACTGGATGATTGCTTTCTTGTTTTAATGCACAGGTTCAAAGACCAAGGAGGGAGTTGTTCATGGGGTCACAACAGGTAAGTGCATAATTGCATTTCTGTTTCTAAATCTACACAATAAATCTCCCACTTGTCCCTTAAAGTGATATTTATGTTTGTGTAGGCTCAGTTTCATGGAGGTGAGTAGGTGTATAATACAATCAAGCATCCTGGAAACACGTAGCCTGTCTCACTGGGAAATGAATAAGTATAAATTTCTTAGGATATTAGTTTCTGCTGTGCTTCCATTCCACTGACAATCCGAATGGTGCACCATCAGTAGCAGATGCTGGACTAGAAAATATGTTTAGTGGGAGAGCTAATGCCTCTTATGTCAGTGGACTCAATGAAGCTTTTATTCTGCACTTTAGAGGAACTGTCCATGGTACTGAATGCCATTCCTAATGAGAAACCCCAGAGTAATTTCTATACAATTGGCATGGGAGTCACCATTCTCGCGTACTGTGTAGACCCCCATCTAGTGACAATACACATGGTGACACTCTTGTGCATCAAGCTGGCTCAGCAGGGTTTGGATGAGCATCACCATGGGGATAGGAATGCACTGCAGCATTTGAGTCTCCTACCCATATAGAAGGGGACTGCAGGCGGCGCAGTGGTTTAAACCGCTGTGCTGCTGGGCTGGTAGATCGAAAGGTTGCCGGTTTGAATCTGCACAGTGGGGTGAGTTCCCGTTGCTCCGTCCCAGCTCCTGCCAACCTTGCAGTTCGAAAGCATGCAAATGCAAGTAGATAAAAAGGTACCACTTCGGTGGGCAGGTAACAGTGTTCCGTGCACTTTGGTGTTTAGCCATGCCAGCCACATGACCACGGAGACTGTCTGCGGACAAACACTGGCTCCCTCAGCTAGGAAACGGAGATGAGCACCGCCCCCTAGAGTCAGGCATGACTGGACTTAACGGCAAGGGGAAACCTTTACCTTTACCTTTCCCATATAGAAAGCTGTTTCCACAGGTGGTTCTCCCTTGCAGGGCCGGCAATTGTCTATAAATTCAGTTCTGTGGCAGATGATCAGAAAGGCTGTAGGAAGATTTGTATCATATTCTCCAGTGACTCTCATCCTTTGGAACCACGCAGAGCAGCCCATGGGCAGGTTGAAGTGACATGACAAGCCACGGTGGCTTTTTACCATTGTTGGTCTGCCATGGGGATGTGTGAGCACTCCATTTTGTGGGTGGGGAATCTGATGGATTTCCTGGGCTCAGCTCTCTGCATTCATTTCTCTTTGAAGTAGCCATGTGTCCAAGCTTCTGTTGAATGTGAGCAGCATTCATGGAGCACTGGACAGGAATTGAGCCCCATGCTTCCATGCCATCCGTAGCAACCTTTGTGCTGCTGTACATAACACAGAAGAAGGTTGTTCATGCAGCACTCACCAAGAATGGAGCCCTGGATGAATGCTGTGCAAGCAGCATCCCTCTTCTGCATCTCATGCAGCAGCCTTCGTGGAAGAAGATCGCAGGTAGTGCAACCTTTGTTCCATGAATGCTAGAGGGATGGAATCCACCATGCTTCAATGCATTCCTCGTCTGTCATGCTGTCAGAATCCCACTGCGGTATTTTAGCATGGTAGGTTTGCTCTTTGGAACAGTCTGTCCTATGGCTGCTTGGTACCCCAATGGCTTGTTGTGTCATCTGAACCCAAAAGACACAACCCATCATGAAACAGAGAGCTACTTGTCAAGAGCAGCCCATTACTAGCCTTGTCAAGCAGCTAGCCAGGGAATGCCACTGACAGCTGCTGTTTTGCACAACCATTGGAGACATCTCTCTTCCACCTGCCTCCTGCTCTAAAGGTCTTTTAGGGGCAGAAGTGGGTGATTCACTGGGTGTCCCTTTCATGTACAAGAGAGAGAAGCTCCTCATATGCACAAGGACAAGCAGCGGGACTCCACTGGGTGATGGAGCTCAATTGGCAGCAGCATTGCTCAGCAGATTCTCCTGCTTGTCCTTTCGTTTCTCCCACTCACGAGAAAAGCACTTGGGTGGGTGCCGGGGTGGGGATTCCTCCTTGCAAGCAAGAGTGACCAAGGGGAACAAGCTGAGTGACACTGTTCCTTCCACATCTGGAGCAGGATGCAAAGATGCCTGATCGGCTCCCTCTTCTTCTGTGCTGCTTTTCAGGGCAGGAGCCCTGTTTGCACAGGAGACTGCTTGACAGCTGTGGCAAGCTGGACTCGGCTCACAGTCACAGCTGTCAAAGAGAGGAGCCTCATCCCTCCCCATGGTGTCTCCTGGGAGACTGCCGGGAAGACTGAGAGGGAAGAAGATGGAGGGAGGGAGGAGAGTTACCATGATGACCAGATCATCTGCCAGGCACATTCATGCAAAAACTTGCAAAGTGTGGAAACCACTCATAGTCGCTTGTCGTGATACACACCTTTCTCCATATTACAGCAATTAGTGACTCTAAGAAGCAATCAACAAGTTTCAGGGATTTTTGCATTAAAGAAACCATTGTCTGAAAGAAAGAGTTAAACAGACTTAAGTATTACATCATACTCCTCCGAGCATGAACATAATTGCATCATGTTTGCAACAAGAAACTTTGTGATTATAGTTGGGACGAGCCTTATCGGAATCTATCCCTCCAAGCATTTGTGGGCTTCCCCTTGTGCTCGGTTTGGTGAGCCAAGCTGAGAGGAAGTCCGTGAACAAGCGTGGAGCCCCAGTGGTGTAACTGGTAACCTTCTTCAATGCAAGCTGCAGCAGCTCCAAAGGCAGCTGTAGCTGGCACAGGAGAGGTGCAGTGGTCGCCAGCAACTGCTTTCCTGGCGAGCCCTTCATGCCCAGCCTTCTTTGCAGTTGTAGGCACTCCAAGGGCAACTGCCCTTGGAGCAGAAGAGGAGCTTATGCAGCACCAGGAACTCAATTCCTGGTGAGCACCCAGGAGTCATTGACCACCCTCACCAAGAACTCAGACCCTGGGCCACTTCAAAGTGGACCGGGATCCAAAGAGCCAAGCCCTGGGAATCCAACAGATTCTCACCATTGGACTGATTCCTCACACATCCCTAGCTATGAATCCCCCTCTTGTACATTTACTAGTAAATGTTTAACCCATGATTTTCAGCAGGAAGGTCTAAACATTTCCTTAAAGGAGGGAGCTAAGAAAAGGCCCCAGTAGCTCGAAACAGCTCTACTTAGGAGCAAGGTGTTCTAACCAAATGCTGACTGCCTCAAGCTTAACACTGAGAAATGACACTTTCTCCCTTCCTCACCTTCCACCTTTCCACAGTTGCAGAGAAAACTAAGGAACAGGTATCGAATGTTGGGGGAGCAGTAGTGACTGGAGTAACAGCTGTTGCGCAGAAGACGGTGGAAGGTGCAGGAAATATTGCTGCGGCCACTGGCTTTGTCAAGAAGGATCAACTGGCCAAACAGGTTTGTTCAACTGCTTTTATAGGAAGGGGGTTAGCACTGCAGTTGTTCTATATAGTTGTCACAGTTGTTGTTTTTTGTAAACCAAAAACCAAAATGAAGAATCTTTAAGTCATCATGAGCTTCTGGATTTTAAAAAAATCTTTCTTCTCTTCCATTTCTGGATAAACCTAATGCGTGAGGAGATGTCTGAGTTATGCATTTCCCTTTGCAACATTGTGTTATGTGTTGCCTTAGCCTGCCATGCCTCGTTGCACTGGAATCTGCACATTATGAACATCAAGTGTGTTCCACTGGTGGCTACATTTTAAAACGAAATAGCACCCTTCGTGCTCCCCATCTGGCTCTTTTCCCCAGATCTTATTCTCACTTCAGGAGAGGCAGTGATTGGTCCAAGGTTGCATGCATCCATTGCATAGCCGAGTGAGGATTTGTGCCTACCTAAACACAGGAATATGTGAAATTGCCTTTACCAGGTCAGGCAATTTATCCAAATAACCTAGTTTGGCCTTTCAGACCATCTGTGGAGTACCAGGAGAGTGTAATAGTTCCAAGTGTACCAGAGGCCTTCCATGTGCAAACCACAAGTTTCTCCCTCTGAGCTACCGTCCTTTCCCTTATGTGGCGAGGATGAGGATAGAGGGATAGAAATTCCCTCTGAATTGCTTGTGGCTTCTAGTGCAGCACTTAGTAAACAGCACATTCTATCTCAATGTTGTCTTATTTTGAAAGAAGTTTATTGGACGTTGCTTCTCCTTAGAGAAATGGTGGAAGTGTTCTTTCCACATTTGCACTAGTCATGGGTTTTGGCTATTGGTTAAAGGAGAATTAAAGGATTTTGGTTATTGATTAAAGCATAAAGCAAGTGGTGGTTAATGTACACTCGGTTTGGTGTCTTTGTGGAATGCCTTTTTCAAACATTTGTAACTCACAAGAACGAACCATCAGGGAATTGGGTGAAAAGCTGTTCAGGAGGAAGCTGTTATATTTTTATAACTTGTGGGCATTCCTCTCTGTCAACTGCTGGAAGGCAAGTTCTATCCATCCTTTGCAAGTAGCTCTCTGACAAGCACGCTCATGATGGTGTAGCAAAGGTATGGGAAGACAACTAGCGGGGCTGTCTCCCCTGCATTACAGAGGACAACCTTCTGTGCAAAGGCATTCTCTGCTTCAGGGGTGATGGACCTCTCTCAGCCTGAGGGCCAAATTCCAATTCAGACCAAGATCAGCTTCAGATTAGTTCTTGGGTGTCATATTCCAGTCATGGGTGGGGCTGAAAGGGATGGGCCTCAAAACACCAACATATTTTATCTTAGAGCACTTACTTGCAGTTACTAAGCCTTTTAGAAAGTAGGGTAACATGTACAAAAGCTGGGAAACCATGAACTGAAGGGTGGTTGAGACAAGGGGGTACCGCCAAAGGAAAGGGCTGCCAGACAAAAGCTAGATGGCCCCAGGCTTGAGGTTCTGCACCCCTGATTTATTTGAATGGCCATATGAACAAATCCAGTTTAAACATTAAGAACCCTAGAACAGGAGATCAGGGGCCTTAAATTGCCCATCAACAGCAACACCCGGACTGAGCAGGCAGGCCCTGTTCTCTTCACCAGGGTGAGATAGGTTGCACTTCTATTTAAATTATAGCCCTTAATTTTATATATGATATACTGGGAAAATAAAATAAAAATATTTTATCACATATAAAATCAAATTCAGCTTCTACCACTTTTTCAGAATCATTGATTCATTATCATTTAAAGCACAGCCTATTTAAAGATTATACTAATCTTCCATTAAATACTTGTTCAACCCACGTCAGGATAAATTTATGATGTGAGTCAATGATGCAAGATAAATGCATCCATTTCTAACAGCTTTTGCACTCATATGTCATAATAGCTTAATTCTTTGGTCATTTACTAGATCCCAGTGGATGCTCTTTTTATCATCCAAAGCTCTCCAGGCATAATTTTTAAAAGGAGATCAGAACAGCCTCTAATATCAAAAGAGTGCCTGCAGAGAGCAGATGAGGGAAGGGGACCTGGAAAAGCAGAAGAGGGACTGAATACATTTCCCGGCAGAGAGAAGATTCCCTGCTTCAACAGGTCTAAAGGGCAGCCATTGGAAAGGCGATTCAACCATGAGACACCTTTCGTGATGTTCAGTCAAATGAAGGAGGAGGACCTGCATTGCCATGCCTTTAAACTCGTGGTACATCCATCCAATAACATTGGAAAAGTGCTAGAATTACCATTGAGGAGGCTGGCGTGTATTGTGTAGCTTGACTCAGAACTGAGCGCTGGTTGCATAATGTCTGAGACACAATAGGCTTCTGGATCAGGTGGGTTCTGGAAATTCCTTGGCCCTTTAATGTGACTTTGCTATCCTCAGTCCTTGGAGCAAATAAAGGGAAGCTCCCAGTTCAGCCCTTCAAGCAGAACCAGCCACTGGGCAGCAAGCAGGAGCAGGCCAGTGCAATGGAGTGGTTATAGTGCCAGACCAGAAGACTGGGGTTCAAGAGTGCGGAGACCTGGATTCAAGTCCCAGCTCAGCCATGGGGCTCACAGGGTGATTTGGGGCCAACTGCCGACTCTCATTCTAGCTTTCTTCACCAGGTTGTTATAAGGATAAAATTGAGAGGCAGGAGATCATGAACAATGCTAAGGCTCTTCAGAGGAAATAATAAGCAGGAGTACTGCCATCATGGCATCTGTGCAGGACATTTGTTGTGGTCCCCATGCCCTTGTGTCCACCTAGTGTGAGGGACTGAGGCCAGGTTTTCCCTAGACCATGAGAGCCCCACCAAAAGAAATGGTCTGCATCCAGTTGTGGCTTTTCCCTGACAGAAAGCACTTCTGCTCACACATGATTGGATGCCCCATTTTTGCAGGTCTCCCCACCCACTCATTCACTGCAGCTCCCATTCCCTCTCCCAAAGATGCTCTTGAAGGTTGGAGAACATGACCTTCTGTGGCTGGAAGGGTGGCAGGTAAGGAGAGGATCAGCAAAACATAGAAGTGCTTCCAGCTTGCACAGAGATGGTACTGAGTAGAACCCAGGGTGTTCGACTTCTGCCTGTGGAAGTGTATGACAATCATTCCCTTATGTGGGAGAAAGTAAAGGAGAAAGTAAAGGGAAAGTGACACCAGCACCCAGTGTGGTGACATTAATCCTAGCATGAGTAATTAGGGGACCTTTAAGAACTGGGCCGGCATTCCAAGCCTATAGTCAAGATGATAAAAGGGCATTGCTGCCAGACAGATTTCATGTAAGGTCTGTTTTGGTCCCGAGAAAGAAGTCTGCTTTTTCCAGCACAGTCCTGTCCCATCCCTAGTCTGGCTACACTCAGGATTCCGTTTTTTGTGATGCCTGAGTATGATTGAACATTACAGGTGGGTTTTTATACTCTTATATAATCAGAGAGTTGGTATCCCCTTATGACTGGTTCTTAGAAGCACAATAAAAGAGCTAAGTTAAATAACAGAGTGTTTTTGAAGCATGGCAAAAAAGAGTAGACCTTGCCAGCAGGCACACATTTTGACTATCTAATTAAGAGTGATACATTGGAACCGATCAAATGTCAAGAATAAAGTAGTGCATAATGTATACTTTCAACCACCTCTTCAAAAAAAACTAATTCTTTTGAGAGTTTTTATGCTGTTTGTAACACTGGCAAGAGGGAACTATTTCAGCAGAAAGGGAAAGGTAGTCAACTCTCCAGATGGAAGCTAGGAGAAAGGTAACTTCCCAAGGGTATTTAGGATTAGCAATCAATATTCTGCTGAGCTGGAACCCTATTAAGGTGTCCAGTACAAATAGCCCTGGAGGAGAAAGAGCATGTTAGCTCCACCCTAAGATGCCAATTCATGAGTCTCCTGTAGGATTCATGTGCAGCATCAAGCTCTCCAGGGACTATCCAGTCCTGATAATCCACCAGCTCTAAATACATGGCATTAGCAGACATGGCAGTTGGCGCCATGTGAAAAGAAGCGTTCACTAGCACCACCCAAGAAACTACCCCAAGCTACTGCTTCCAAAATGACCCAGGTCTGCATGGCTCCTTCTGCAACCTCTGTTAACTGGTCTCATTCCAGAAGTGTTAGTTTCTGGTAGTTTCCGGTTGCATTACATTCCCATGAAGCGAGCAGTTATTCCTGCTAATGCAGCAATACTGTATATCTGTATGCCTGTACCAGCCCTCTCAACAGATGCTGATTATGTGCTTTGGCATCTAGGGCACAGGGCAAGTCCACTCATTCCTGTGAGTCCCTTACCACCTTGATCCCAAATCAATGAATAGGCCTTGAGTTCTACTGGTAACAGGAAGAATCAGTCACTCCTATGCACAGTTCAGACCCAGGACAGGCTGGACTTTTGTGGTCGAGCTTCCTGTCCACTAATATTCACTCATTATCTGAGTGGTCTGCCAGTCAACTCATCTGAACCATGGAGAAGGAGCAAAGGAAGGTCTTTCTCTTAAGGTGTAACTCTTAGATGTAACTTAAGGCCAAGAAGGAAGGGCCAAGGACCCATTATCTCTCAAGCGATAACTTACAGTGCATCTTCCTTCAATTAGGAATCCCTCTTTTTTCAGAATGGTCGACCATTCAGCTGAGCTGAACTATGGAGGACAACAAAAAATATCTTCCTGCATGTTAAGCTAAGGGCCCCCTCAAAGCTCAGTTGTTCCTAAATGGAGGCCTTGGTGAGACACCCCTATTTAAACCTATACTCAGCACTGTATTCAATACATTAGCATATTTTTTAGGGCAAGTTGTGCGAACAGCATTCACAGGACCAAATGCATATTTAGCACTTTTCCTTTCCACCTCCCACACAAGCTTTTCAAGTTGTTGGAGTTCTCTGTGAAGATTTTTGCGCTACTTATCTTCCGGACAAATGATGTTCTCTGAGATCACCAACTGACAAACAACTTCTGGAGTGGTCATGCGTCCTACTTTACGGTTGTCTTCTGTTTGAAGGGCTGTCCAGCCCAAGTCCAG